TCAGAGGCGCTCTGAGCAGATGCCTCGGAGTTTGGGATGCACGTTAGTCGTGCCCTGTGCTGGGGGCATCGAGGAAGCATAATCTGGGTTTGAATTGGATTTCTTACCCTTTTTAAATCCAGGAGGGCTCTCTTGACGTCCTTAGAGGGTGCAAATGGAGCTGTCGTGAAGATCTGTTTCTGGAGCGCATGCCGCTGCCAAATAATAGGGCTATAAAGGGATAAGAAGTGGGGCTTGTGCAGAATGTTAGGTTTTACAAACATCGTATTATGCTGCGAGAGCATATGAAACACAAGTGTTTCAAATGGCAAGTGAAGTGCAGTACAACAGCACAGCCCTTGAGACTCCTCTGAAGAGGATTGGTTGGTTTCTTTTTTCATTTAATGTTCGTTCTCATACTTCTGGGTTGTAGTTGTAGACAACATACTTCTTCCCTTCCACCTCTTGTTTCTCCTACCCGAATTTGTCATGATTGAAAGGATTTTCTCTTATGACCATAAGTACGAAATGCATCAAGGGGAGAGGCAGGGGTGGTACTTGCTTTCCAGAATAAAAGCTGCGTTGGCTTTTTTTTGTTTTGTAATTTCTAGGAAATGAGGGTTGGACTTCACCAAGCAGTATCTTTGGCTTATCACATGTGTCATGCCCAGGACAACCTATAGAGAAAAATCACTACTCCAGCAACAAAGTGACCGGGTTTTTAATATCCCATCTCTTGATAACTTAATGAGTTTGGTTACCAAGAGTCACTTGTTGCTCCTGGGCATGGAGTGAGCTACTGCGTACTTTTAAATGGCCACAAATAACTCTCATAGATGTAAACTTACTCTCAGTGTATTCTGAACTGACTATTTTGCTACTTTTTCTGGAATGAGTGCCTATACTGGTTTGTGTAGAAGCTCTCCTGTCCGTCGGTATAAGCTTGGCAGTATTTCATGAACCCTGCAAAGCTAGAAACTCACCTTTGGAAGAGAAACACATTTCCTCATGGATATGGAAAATGGCCAAACACTCGTGTGAAATTCACGGCGTTCTCCTTAAGGCATTGTGTGCGTGCAGAGGTGAGCTGCAAGGACGCAGCTCGAGTCAGCTCTCGCTTACAGCAGAGTGGAGTTCGTAATTGCACCGGGGAGAGAGGGCAGGGAGGAAGGCTGGCTGTTTGCTAGGAGAGGGCACGGGCAGCTATAGATCGCGTCTGTACATCGCAATCGGCAGCAGGCGTAGGCTGGAGCACGGCAACGCTCTGTTTTGGAGGAGAAGACATTTTTCAGCAGCGTGTTGCTGCGCGTCATTTACAAACGTGGTCCAGCAGTCGCCGAACAGGGTGTGCTGGTGAGGACAACCCCAGCTACGTGGCAAGGGGAGAGTTTTGTCCTTAATGTAGTACAATATAGATATACACCCTGCGAATGATGACCATCATCAAGGAAGGCTGCCGGTACAGTCCATCAAAAACCGCAAAGCTAATGATGGGCTGGGCAGATAATCGTGGGAGAGTTAATTGTAAGGTTCGATATGGCATCTTGTCAGCAGAGATAAGTTGTCACGTTTTCCACTTGAGCTGAAACTAAATGATTGTAAAATAAGTTATGAGTGTCCTTGGGCCTGTCTGCCAGAATGATGGCTAAGAATACATTCCTGGCCCATCAGTCTCAAGCAGCCCGCTTGATATTTATGCGAACTGAATGTTATTTTATTCCCCCTCTAGTCATGCTTGTCAGCTTCCCGAGTGAAAAGTGAAACTGCTTCTTTGACTCATACTTCAAGTATTGAAGCTCGGAGAGGCTGCAGATTGTTATTATTATTGCTAGTATTATATATTTTTTCGGGTGTGCGTTGAACATTGATGCCCGATTGGGAAGAACTAATGGCTGACATTGAACATGCGGGATGGCTGCAAAACAGCCCATCCCAACCCAGTGAAACGCGTCTTATGAGTTCCAGTGCCTCTGTCAGAGCTGGTTTAGATGTGGAGTAATGAGGCGCTTGCTTTTTTAATTTGGCGTGCCTTTTTCCTTGCCTTTTTTTTTTTTTTTTAAATATATTTAATAGTGCCGGCAGTGGTCGTCTGTTCCCAGGCGTGGTAATTGATACAAAATAAAATGCATTATTTGTATTCAGTCAGGAGTACGAAATTGCATTCAGCGGGCTGAAGCCTGAACTCATTTACAGTTTTCCGAAGCCGGGCTTTCAGGAGCCCTCTTTTCAATTTGAAGAATACCTTGTCAGGCAAGAGAAGTAGTGGGAAATGGGAAAGCACAGCGTGGAAGCCTAGCGCCTTTTGATTGCTCATATTTTAAACCGGGAGAATGTTAAATAACTTCCATCTTCAAAGGGTGGTCTCCGAAACCGGGAATACGGGGCATTAATACACCAACACTATCGGCTCGGCACCCGTTTACGAGCGACTGCCGTTTCTTTTCTGGTTGAGGGGGAGGGAAAGCTTCAGGCTCTTCGCTTCAGAGCCGTTTGACCCAAGGACGGCGGGTTATTACCTGGAGAGGGCTGCGGATCACGAGGGTTTGCCGTAGGAGGTTAATTCTTCAGCTCTCCGACGGGAGTAGGCGAACTGTCCGTTCCTCATTTTTCAGAGCTCACGAGCAGGTGCAATTTGTAGCCTAGAAATCAGACTAAGCCGCAGCGAGCGTACCGAGCTACCTTAACATTTTTTTAATAAGGATCCTGCTGAGAAGCGTGTTCTGTGGTTCGCGTCAGGGTGTGGTTTCTTCACCGTTTGATGAGTTCGGGGCGTCGCGGTTGATGCTGCAGTCCCATGTGCCGATGAACGCAGCCCTCATGCGCCTGCCTCGGGGACCGGAGCGCTTCGGCACGCGTCTCGGCATCGCAAATAGTTGGAACCAAGCTTTTGGAGAGGCAGGGGAGAAGGTGGTAGAGCTGTTTCTTCCTGGATTATTTTTTTTCCTCCCCTTGAGTAAAATCAAATAATTCTTTCTAAAGTAGAAGCTGAGTGTGAGGCCTGCCACTTGCCTTGTACTTTCTGAGGGGGAAAAAGTGAAGCGTTTTGAGAAATTGTGTTAGATGTGAGCAAGCCTTCCTGACTGGTGTGCTCTCTGGGATTTTTCCGTAACACTTACGAATATGCTGGGTTTTCGCAGGCAAATGAAAATCCCCGAGTTGGGTTTTTGGTGCCTCGTGGCAGACCTTGCCGCCGCAGCCAGGCCCCTTCCTTGCAGTGCCTGGCTCTGGGGCTGGCCTGTCTCAACACAACTCTTTTCATGTCACTGCTGCAAAGGAGGACCCAGTGTAGGAAACCAAGAAGTCTCAAACTGGAGGTCAGTATTTGGAACTAGCAGTACCCAACTCGCATCCTTGGCCATGGCTCCGTATTGCTGGCGTCCTCTTCTGCATCTTCTCTTCTTCCAGTGTCAAGGAGCTGAAGGTATCCCTGTCCCCTTTGCCAAGCACGTGCAGAGCACTGACATGGATTCTGAGCAGGGTTTGCCTTCCTCTCCAGCTGGAGAGGCAGCAAACTTTTACCGCTTTGAGCATTTCTGGGTCAGATACTTACAGATACACAGTAACTACATTCCCATGATTCCCTTTGTGGTTAAATACTTGATGATTGATTTCAAAATAGTGGACATAGGGAAAAGAACAAAGATCCTTAACATAAAGCTTATGTTTGATTAGGTCCTTGTTACCAGGCAATTAGCTACATAATTGTCCCCCACTTACAACTTGCAGCACAACTGCGCTTAGCTAATAATTAGTAAGTAAACTTTTTTAGGAAGAAAATGAAGTGTTTCTTTGTCTAATAGGCAGTTGTATGGGTATTTAACTACGCAAAAAATCAAAATCTACTATTTAGATAGTCTTTGGCTTGGTATTTTCCTAACATATGAATTAATCTCAAGTGCAGTCCTTGCAGGTATTGCACTTAATTACAATATGGTGTCTAACCAAGTTCTGGAGACAGCTTTACATGATAGCACGCACTTTAAGCAGAGTGTGGAATGTTATGTTATATTTTATAATCAAAAAGCAAACATAATGGAAATGCATTTAGCACTAATCATAGCCAAAAGACTAGTTGCAATCAAACTAAAATTAATTATCGACCTTGCGGATTGGGGTTACTCGGGTATTTGCTGTGGGAAAGGACTCAAATGGAGAGTCATCACTTGCTAATCTTATGTTCAATATTGCCATTAGGTGCTGCTTGACTGAAAAAGAGAACTAGTCAAAGAGAAGGCATTCATGTATTACCAGCCGTTACAGGGACCAGGGAAGAGACTGTGGGTCTCTGCTTATGAGAGGGGGGTGTCGTCGACCTCTAGTTTTGATTTTTTTGAGCAACCTGGTTGGTGGGAGAGGGGAGAAAAAGACTCTGTCACTAGTTCTTAAAATTGTTGGATGTTACGCTACCATAGCTAATATGCTGGGAAACTAAGCACGCTGAAAGTGGGATTTCACACACACACACTGGGAGCAGGTACGAAGTGAACCATTGTCCCACAACTTTAATTGTACCAGACATACGTAAGTTACACACCTTGTTTTCCCACCTTTGGTGCCATTACCGCCTTTTCTGTGTGTGTCTGGCTCTAATATTAATGAAAGCACGTAACATTCGGAGGACACTGGGCTTTCTCGGTTTCATTGTGTATTAAAATGTCCTAGTGTTACACGAGTTAATTTGAGGGCCAGTAAGATCTTTGTAAGAAAGAGCAAATGGAAGTAATAAAGCGGTTTCCCATTGTTTTTTGTGCGTTCCAGCTGGCCTGCTTCTAAAACTGGTGCAGAGTCCTGTTGATTTAATAGGACTTGAATCAGAACTTCAGCAAAGTTGCATTTTTGTACCTTTTTGAAAAAGTAATGGACGTTGTTAGGACACTCTCCTGTAGCCTTTGGAAGTCAATGAGCTCAAGAAATTAGCTGGTAACAGACAGCAAGGGGTTATATCTTGGATTCTAGCTATCATTAATTTAAATTATGCAGTATTTTTATTTTTCCTTCTTTTTTTTCCCCCCATACTGCAGATACTGGATTGGGAGATTCCGTGTGTTCAAGCCCAAGTATATCCAGTACGACGAGCCCCAAGCTCGATCCACCTCCTTCACCTCACGCCAACAGAAAGAAACACCGCAGGAAGAAAAGCACGAGCAATTTCAAAGCTGATGGCATCTCGGGCACAGCTGAAGGTAAGCTTACTCCGTGGTGGAAGTCTGAATTTTGAAAACATCATTCCAAAGAGCATTTTTAAGTACAGCTCAGCTACGCTGTTGGCTTTGTATACAGAAGGTGGAGATAATTGTGTTGAAGTAGAGAAATTAAAGACTGATCTTGTAATGATGAAGCTGAATAATATGGGGCATCACGATGGTGAATTTGACTGTCTGAAACATGTTTGGAACTGATTTTTGTAATATATAGAAAAGTACACCCCAGTTAATACAGAGCATCCTTAGCCGTACAGGTAAGGTACAGGCAAACTTCTGAAGTTAAAAAGAAAGAAAAAGTCAGGTTCACTCAGTAGCCCATACATCACGTTAGAACTTGTGTATTTTTCCAGTATTATTAAATTTCATGTTATCTCTTCTGCTTGGACACATCCTGAACTCTAGAATCATGAACACTTCTGATGCCAGTTATTGTTTGAATATTCAACTGCTCATGGAAAGACTGTGTTATTTGAGGATAAAAAGGAAAAGGGGAGAGTTTAAGTGTTTGGGTTCTTTTTTAAGAACCAGAAAGGAAAAGCCAAAAAGAACTTCTTTTTTCCCTTAGTTTAGCTTACTATTTCCAACGCGAATACTGCTATAGCTGTTCAATGCCCTTCTGAAGGGGTAACAATGTGTACAGTAGCCAGATATGATATAAAACATGCTTGTATCTTTAGAAAAGAAGAAAAGAAACATGCTAGGATTGAACCAAAAGAGCTCCAGAAAAAAAGATGAACAAGGGTAGTTGGAAGGCTCAGAAACTGGGGAGTCAACACATAAGGAGAGATGAAAAACGGAGACAATGGAATAACATTGTTGGCGAAGGGGAGTGTTGAGTAAGAAAAAGATGCAGTTGTAAGCATTGGAGAGTGAAAAACAGCTAATTCAGTATCAAAGAGTGTTGGAACAAGTTCTGAAAAAAGGAGGACAATTGCGGACAGCTGAAGAGACATTAAAAATAGATGTGATAATAGTATACAACTGAGAAGGGGCATGCTAACTACTACTTAGTCATCCTTATTTTCCATTTATTTAATTTCTCAATTGCACTTCTTTCACATACGGAATTTATTTCCCCAGCTATCTATACAAATCCTTTTTTAAAAGCCATCAGCTTTTTTTCATAATAGCTCCTGTTGCGTTCCCTTTCCAGTCATTTAACTAGCTTTACTGTTAGTTTCCCCCTAGTTTATGGCCTGAAGCCAAATTTTATTTTAACCTTTCATTTTTAATTTGTCATCTTTTTTTTTCAACAATCCCTTTCACACCACTTATTTTCATACCTCAATGGCAAGTTATAGAGGGAATTTTTCAGAGCGCTCACCATTGGTCCAAGACTATTTTGTTGAAGTCAATATGAATCAAGACCAGCTGGATATCAAAAGCCTTTGAAAATCTCTTTCTAAGTAGTTAATACGTGTATGTTTTCTTTCTCCTGGGGAGATTATTTTCACAAGTCACTGGAGCTGGAGCCTGTGTGGTCCTGGTCTGCAGGCACGGACTACTGACCTGCAGCGAGCAACGGGGGATCTGCAGTTGTGCATCTTGTCCCCAAAATCCATGTTCTGATTGGAGTGGGGAGTGCGTGTTCCTTCGTCCTGCTCTGCTTTCTCTTGCTCTTCTCCTTGTCTTCCAGCATCGTAACATGCTAGTTTAAATCCTTTTGCAACAGCTTTAAAAAACTGTCCCCTTTCATATAAATAGGATAAATATGCTTCCAGGAGAAGAACTGGCTAGCAGGCAGCACTAAACAATACACAGGGAGCCTTGAAGGTAGCAGCGAGTGCCAATATCTGCTTTCCCAGTCTTTGCATCTCTACATTAGCCCATCAGCTTTCTTTCACCTGCCTTTTCTTAACGTATCTTCTGAGACGGACACTCTTTTATGGCTTGGAGCTCACAGTTGTCTGTCTTGGGTGGGCCATAGTGGTTGTTAAATTCTTTATAAAGCACAACTCAGTGCAAAAAAAAATATCAACCACAAGAACAGACTTGCAACTTTCTGGACAGCGTTCTCGCCATGTTTGAGAGGACCTCTAAGCATCCTTCAACGGGTGACTAATCTTACTGGCCCTTGAATCCTTAGCAAGGTTGGGAGGAGAAGGCTGACAGGTAGGACAGTCAGCCTCGTCTGTCAGCGGTAGCTGAAGGAGAAAGCAATGAAGCGTGCTCGAGTTCGTTGTCCTTTTAGAAGAAGGGCATCTCAGAAAAAGTAATAATGATTGCAGATGCCCATGAAGGACTTTCTAGCAAGGCTGACAAAGGCTCGGGGTTGCTTTTTCCAAATCCTGGCATGTGGGGACTTGCAACCTTTGTATTTTCTGGTACTTGTGTTGTGCAAGCCAGAAGTTACGTTTGGTATGTCTTATGGTTGACCAGACAGGTACATCACTCTGAGCTTGCTGTGATGCTGAGTGATGGGAATAACTCCAGTCCCGGGACAAACTATGCCACAAGCGGGTCGGCTGCTAGTGGGGTGTGTGTCTGAGATGCTGCAGGCTGTTACGGGTTTTTCTCCAAGTAGCTAAGTGTAGCATTTTCAGATCTGTCTTGCAATTCAAAGCAGTTTTCAGTTCAACAATTCAGCCTTTCCTCAGGAAAAGGCTTATTTCCTTGTTCTCCAGCACTTGGCTGTCCAGTGACCTAAAAGATTTCCTTTTTGATTTTTCTTCCTCCGCACTTGCCGTGAGCATAGATTTAAACCCTCAGAGGATTACTGCTGTTTTGAAGACCACAAATCCAAATTAAACAGTAAAAGGAAGATGTTTTGAGAGATGCATGCTTTGCCTTGGCAACTTTGATCAAGTGTTAGAGATACGGCAGGTGACTTACTGAAAATGGGTTAGAAGACGACTGTTGTGATAATCACGGGAGAACCATATCTTCCTTCCTTCTGGAAATCCTGAGCTCACTGTGAAAAGGAGGATGAGGATCCTCCTGCAGTAGCTATTCTCAATGGATCAGACTTAAATGATTTGGGTAATTCTGGGCTTTATGTTGCCTTCCTTTGGGTCCAGGCATGTTTCAAGTGTCAGCTTTCAAACAGAAATTCTGGGTTCCTTCAGTTTTGTCCGTGGTAAAGCTTAGGTGTTCACTGACGCTTAAATCTGGTCTTCAGCAAACTCTAGCATTTTTACTGCACTTTGCGGTCTTTTTTTCCCCTTGAACATGCCTGCTTTGATCATTGACCTCTGCCCAAGTATTCAGATAACACGGTGATGGACACTAGCGAGCCCAGGATGATTCACTAATTCCAAGGACTGATGCTCATCTCTTTTATGCCCTTCCATAAAGGTCATGCTGGTTCTTCTTTCTGCACACTATCTGCACATGCACAGCTCTCTCTTTCTGGGATTGATTCTTTCATCTTACTTGGTTTATCTTTCTCCGGGTTTTCTGAGACAATGGTTGCAGCAACGAAAATACTGAAGCAACTGTGCTGCGGTTGGATGAGGATTAAAATTGAATTCCTATTTTGGAAAACCAGATTCTTGTAAAATTTTTCCAGCGCAATGAAACCCAGAGAGAGGTTTTTTTAGTTTTCTGTGCAGAACTTGTCACTGAAAAAATCTCTTGGTGTTTTTGAGGGTAACAGCTGGAATGCTGACATTAGGCAAGGTGCCAGCAACCAGCAGTGTTTTTCCCACCATGCTGTCTAAACTTGCTCCGAGCAGGATTGTGCGGTGCTGTGTTTCAAAGAGGAATAGCTGCTCAGAGCCCAGTCTGTTTTGGTACCCTTGTGCTGCTGCAGTTAGTAGAACAGCTAGTGAGAACAGGAAGGGTTTTCAGCTTGAAAACAAGTAGAAAAATTAAAAAGCCTTACTGGAAATACTCTTCACAGAACGACCTTTCCCAGTGTTTATTTTTCTTACTCTTGTTAGACAGTTTTAAAACTTCATAGGTATGCCAGCTTGAACCTGCCTGCCCTCAATCCAGCTCTGAGATATTAGGAGCTATAGAAAGCCCAAGGTATGGTTGTCTTTCAGCATCAAATCCAGATCATCCATGCTCTGTGAATGTTGCCCTCTGCCCAAGGGAGCTCTGGGCAGCGGGGCCAGCGTCGCTGCCTGCTGTAGGGCCGGTCTGGCTGTGTCCAGGGGGACAGGGAATGCGCTCCTTCGGGCGGGGAGGTGCAAGGCCGCTGCGGGCAGAGCGCCGTTGATTCGTCTTCTCTCTCGGCAGCATGGGCGAAAGAAGCATAGCTCCGTGCTCCCGTTCACGCAGATGGGGCCTGAGAAATAGGAATTGAGGACAGTAATAAATGTGATTAGCAACTTGGTAGACTTTCCAAACTCTGTGTTTTCTCTGTGAATCTGTGTTCCATGTTCGTCGTAGCTGGTTTCTAAAGAACTTTTGAAGGACTAGTAAGGATCTTTTATGTTTCGTTTTCGAACTGTTTTCTTAACTCAAAGGTATTACTGCTCTGCCCCTTGTGGAAGTAATTGCTTTTCCCTGTGCTTTTCTGATCTGTGCAGTCTAGCCCCCAACTCCAGGTGTACGCTTTCTGGCCTGTAGCTAAGGATGAACCCCAGTTTACTGAGAAATTGCATTTTTTGTTGAGGTGAACTAATAAATGTGTTTCAAAAGCTGGTGTTCTTCACTGGGATCTAGGAATTTAATTTAAATGTTGTATAGCACTGAAGTTGTTCTTCTGTTCCAAATCTCAGGGAGCACTGAAGATGAGATATAGTTAAGTTTGAAAATAAAAGATGTTCATTTGTTTTTTGCGGAGGGAAAAACAGGGTTTAGTCAGACTTCTCGTATGTACTTTCAACAATAAGCAGAAATTTCACTGCTTTCATCTGGTTTCACGGCTGTGTGGGGACGTGAATCCAGGAGGGTGGGACAAGGTGCCAAAAGCCGAGGGAGGTGCCAGTTTATTCCCAAGACTTCTTGGGCCCTTTCAGCCATCCCAAAACCAGAATGACGAAGCAAATTAGGGAAATGCAGTTCTTAGCATCAGTCTCTGAAATGTGTAT